TTATGATCCCAGCACTCTTCCCTACCCAGGGCAGGGGGTCGGACTTGATGATCTGTTCAGGTCCCTTCCGACCCTAGAAACTATGAGGTAAAGGGGGAGAAGGCCCAGATGGGATGAGCACAGGGCTCCATCCCTGCCTGCTCCCCCCTGTCATTCTTGATGGGCAATTGGCTAGTCTTTTAATATAACAACTCAGGTAATATGTTAATTAAAAAATGTGTTCATTTTTTATGTTCTGTTTTTGTAGTGCTTCACAGTGTATCCAGTTACAGAATACAAAGCTACTTAGTATGCTACTGGATAGAATAAAAATAACTTGAGTGCTCACTTCCAAAATGACAGTGTTTTCAAGAAACAAGTGTTCTCTAGTTTGGTATAGAAACACCCTCTTGCAGTGTGAGAAATTTGTAAACCATTTATAACCCAGGGGTTATAAAAACATAATCTGAATGTTTTTTAAACTAGCGGGGTTTGTTTGTTTTTTTACATTGAGAGGTTTTTGTTTTTTGTGTTTTTACAGGCTGTAAGAACAGGAATGTGTTTAGATCCATGTTAAATCTTTGCAGCATTTCATTTTATTTATACTTTTTGTAAAAGCTCCATCTAGTGGGCTTTATAAAAATTCATTAAAAAAAAATCATTTTCTTCCCATCTCATTAATACCAGTGCTAAACTGTTTGCTTCTCATGCTCCTGAAGCAGCAATCACAATAATTATTTGGGTGTTCTAATGGTTATTCTACCGGAAAACCACATTTTCTAAGTGGCGATGCATCTGTCATTCTCTTGTTGGAAGGAAGGGAATGAAAGTGGAGTTGAATGACCTTGCCTGTCTATAAAGAAAGTGTCTATAGAACCTGGGTAGTCTCAACATATCTTGAAAGTGGTGTGACCTGGTTTCAGCTTAGTCTTTGGCAGAAGCCAGTCCCTTGACAAAGCACTATCCCTTGCATGGAGGAGGTGATTACTTCCTCTGTGATACAAAGTATTATGGATGAAAGCTGTATACTTGACAGGGTCCCAGACTTTGGATGCTGAGGAATGCTATATTAAATTGAGCTTGAAATTTGAAAGGTTACAGCTATTTGAGCTCAAGTTAGTGTATCCTTGGTAACACCCAGGCTGCAAATGCTAGGTGTCCTTGTAAAGTTAATCTAGCAGTAATGGGGTATACATGGCAGTGGCTAGGTGCTCACTTTCTGAAAGGAAGAATGATAAGAATAATCTCTTGGCCCCTATATTTTGGGGGAAAACAAAATCCTTGTCCATTTCACTTATCTGGAAATCGAGAACAAAGGCAAAACCACCCAAGAGTTTATACATTTTTGATCATGATAAGGATGAGAAATGGAGGAGTTGTATACCTTCTTTTCCTGGCACAAAAAGAGTGTACAGCCATTCAAGGGATTTCTTGTGGAAGAGAACCGGCTTTTCAAGAAGTTAGATTGGTTACCTATGAGGAAAAACTCCCTCCTGTTGATCTAACTTGAACAGCTGTCTGCTTCTCTTAGGTATGAAAGACACCCAGTATCCCATAGTCTTCTGCTCTCCATCCCTCCTCCTAATGGAAAGGGAGGACAGGAGGGAGAGTACTAGCTCCCTGAAAACTCACCCAGGTACAAGCTATCAGGGAGTGCTGTGGAGACCTGCATGGGAATTTTTTTCCCCTTTCCCACCAGTTGGCTCATCAGTGGGAGGTAGAGGCATTTGTCTGAGGCAGAGACCCCCTCTCGTCCCTCTTGGTTGCTACTGGGGCAATTAGCCCCATGTGGCTCTCTGATTGACCTAGAGGAGTGCTCTAGGTAGCAGGCAGCTGTGTCATGTTGGAAGAATGGTCCTGCTTCTACCAGGCGCCTCCATTTCCACCCAGAGAAGTGCAAGGAGTGGGGGCTATTTTCTTGCTGGGGCAGGCAGGAGCGTTCCTGCCCAGGAGAATGGCCAGTTGATTGGCAGGATGGGGGGCATTCTTTAGGGCAGTGGTTCTCAACCTATTTGCTATAGTGGGCCACACTTGCAGCTCTCAATGTGTTATGCGGCCTGCACCCACACAACTTACTTCCTATGTATCCATTAAAAAATGTTTTGTATCTGTTATCTAACAGTAATGCAGTACAAATCAATATTCTGTAATACCTCTCATTTCTACATTGTCAATTGTCTTTATTTTTTTTTTTAACAGGATATCACATGGGCCACAGCAGTGTGGTTCTTGGTTCTCATGCAGGCCTCGTGTTAAGAATCACTGCACTAGGACCTGAAATACTCATGGGCCTGTCTCTGGCAGCTGCTGCTTTTCAGGGGCTGACAATTGCCAAATGACAATCTGTCCCCTTTGCAAGCAAGCTGTCAATTAATGGCCCTAAAAGCAGGGGTTAGCCCAGAGAACTCCTCCTGGCTGGAGATCTCACCTGTGTAGCTCCCCAGCTAGGGGCTGGGTTGCATGTATGTTCCAGTTCCCAGGCTGTTTTTTCTAGTGGTAAGAACCAGTAGAAATGAACGCCTGGCTGGGGCCTTTTGACAGCTCTCCAGAGGGTTCCTGTTTACCAGGCATTAATCTCTACTTTGCCCATGTTGGTCCCAAGACTAGTTCTTTATATTGCTTATTTAAAATGTTGGTAAATCAAAGGAGTGGCTCTGTACTTGACGCAAAGAATTAGGACTGAAGGTCTGATGACATCTTAGTCCATATTATATTTATTATTCTTTTAGTGTCTTCACATTTTGGAGTACTATTAACTATTCATTGAACTCTAATGTCCATCATTACCTGCAGCACAGGAGGTCAGATATTCTGATTTATATGCACATGAGGGCAGAGTTTCTTTTGGTTTTGGGGAAAAAGTTTCTCTAGCCCTCATGAAGAATTCAGAATTGCCATCATGGATACACACTATACTGAGGAGAATAACGATAAAAGAACTATTGAAAAGAAGAAACTATACCCCTGGCTCAAACTCCTTTGAATTCTGACAAATTCTAATTATTTTAGTTTTCTCATTCTTCCAGTTTCTGGGATGAGATAGTAGAGCCATCTGGCTTTCTCAGGTCTCCCTGACCTTGGCCTATTTGAGTTCAGACCTGGATTTATTTGGAGACTGCACTGATTGTGTTAGGTGAAGTAGTCTTTTGATGGTTGATCCTTTTTGAACTTCTATTGGTCTGAATGATGTAGGCATGTGTTTGTGTCTTAGCAGTTCTAAAAAAAGATTTACATTTCTAGCCTGCCTTTTATTTAACAAACACAAGGACCACTGCAAGAGGTATTAAGAAAAATATGGGCTTCAATATTCTTGGAAGAAAGAACTTATAACCTTTAGCTTCCTGCATCTTAATTATTTTTTCAGTGCACTTAAAACTGTCTTATCTGATCCAGCTATCTCTTGTGATACTTGTAGCTGAACTGTTTGAACTGGTACCTCCTCAGTAGGATATAAATGAGTGGTTGATGGACTTGGTATTGTAAGAGCTTGATCCTTTATTTGGAACTTGCTTCAAGATTTGGTCAAGCTAGAGTCAAAGTCTGAGGGAGAGGTCAGCAGCATCCATTTTTTTTTTCTTCCAAACTCCTGAGAAGGGAATGGGGGTAAGAAGGACATGTGTATCGTGCATTGAGAATGGTATTAGCTGTTTTATTTAATAATCAAGGAATAATGGGTTGAAGATTCATAGAAGTAGGGTCGGAATTGACCTTGTAGATCATCGAGTCCCACCCCCCTGCCCTGAGCAGGAGAGAAAACCGGGCTCAAATGACCCCAGCCAGGTAGACGTCAAGCCTCCTCTTAAAGACCTCCAGGGTAGGAGCCATCACCAGTTCCCTTGGAAGTTGGTCTAGATCCTAGCCGCCCTGACTGTGAAGTAGTGCCTTTGGATGTCTAGTCTAAACCTACTCTTTAACAATTTGTGGCCGTTATTCCTTGTTACCCCAGGGGGTGCTAGGGGGAACAGGGTCTCTCCCAAACCCTGCTGGTCCCCCCTGGTGAGTTTATAGATGGCTACCAGGTCCCCCCTCAGCCTTCTCCTGCGAAGGCTGAACAGGTTAAGATCCCGTAGCCTTTCTTTGTAGGGTCTGCCCTGCTGTCCCCAGATCATGTGGGTGGCCCTCCTCTGGACCCTCTCAATGCTGTCCATATCCCTCCTGAAGTGCAGCACCCAGAACTGAACACAGTACTCCAGCTGTGGCCTGACCAGTGTCGCTCAGAGGGGGAGGATCACCTACTTGGCCCTGCTTGTCGTGCATCCACAGATGCATCTCAAGGTACGGTTAGCCCTACTGACTGTGACCTCGCATTGTCGGCCCATGTTCATCTTGGAGTCACTAATGACTCCAAGATCTCTTTCTGTCACCATGCTCTCGAGAAGGGAGTTTCCCAGCTTATAAGTGTGCTGCTGGTTCCTACTACCCAAGTGCAGCACCCTGCACTTGTCAGTATTGAAACCCATCCTATTTTCGTTAGCCCACCCTGTTGAGGTCCTGCTGTAATCTGTTCTTCCCTACTAGCGTGCCCACTTCACCCCAAATCTTGGTAGCATCAGCAAATTTAAACAAGCTGCTTTTTACCCCATCGTCCAAGTCACTAATAAAGAAATTGAACAGTGTGGGCCCAAGGACCGAGCCCTGGGGGACTCCACTGCCCACTTCCCTCCAGGTCGAAAAAGACCCGTCCACCACTACCCTCTGAGTATGACCCTTCAGCCATCTGACTGTGTAGGCATCAATGCCAGTCACCTAGTTTTTTGATGAGAATGGGTGGGAGACGGTATCAAAGGCCTTTGCTGAAGTCCAGAAAGACTACGTCCACCGCAACACCTGCGTCCAATTCTTTTGTGACCTGATTGTAGAAGGCAATCAGGTTGGTCTGACAGGACCTGCCCCTAATGAAATCATGCTGGTTGCCCTTGAGCATCATCCCTGCTGCTGGCCCATCACAGATGTGCTCCTTGAGACCATGTTGGCTTTCTTCCAGTCATCTGGCACCTGGCCAGAGCACCACGAGCGCTCGTAAAGCCGTGCCAGGGGCCCCTCGATAACCCCTGCCAATTCCCTCAACACCCTGCGGTGAAGAGCATCTGGACCTGCTGATCTGAACATGTCCAGCCCCTCCAGAAGCTCTCTAACCCGGTCCTCCCACCCTGACCATAGGCCTGGCGGCGTTTCTTCTGAGTCCGTCTGGAATCTTCATCAGGGAGTCCTGGTCCCTGCACAAGAAAATGGAGGCGAAGAATTTGTTAAAGAGGTCTGCTTTCTCCTCTGGTGCAACCACCAGATTGCCAAGCATATCCTGCAGAGACCCCACATTACCCGGTGCCTTCTTCATTCTCCCTATATATTTAAAAAAGGACTTTTTATTATCTTTGATCCTTGATGCTAGCCCTAGCTCTGTATCTACCGTAACTTTTCTAACAGCCCCACTACAGACCCGAGCGGTGGAGGTATACTCCTCTTTAGTGATAGCCCCTCCCTTCCACCTGTATTTTGGCAATCAGGCATTCGCAAATGCCCTTGGTGAGCCAGGGGGGCTTTTGGGCACTCACCCCCCCTTGCTTCTTGTTGGGATTGTCACCCCTTGGGCGCTGAGTATAGTCTCCTTAAGAATTCTGTTAATTTTAAAATGAATCATAGATGCATAAGGAAAAAAAAGTCTGGCAGTTAGACTACTTGGACTGTTACTACATTCAGCCAGGCTTTTAAAAAGTCATATTAAAATACATGACTCCTAAGTGGACTCCTAAGTATCTCCTGGCAGATGAAGTACTGCTTTGCATACTCTTGGCATGTCAAAACAACAAAAAGGATCTGAGGCCAAAGTCCATTTTAAATATCTATTTGATGTTTTGGCTTGCAGATAACACCCAACTTTGGTCTACATTTTAGCTAATTTGGCTTGTCTGAATTGGATTGCTTTTCTACATGCAATCTCCAGTCCAATGCTATGATAGTTACTTATCCTCGGTGCAGCTGAGTATATCATTTTAACACTTAATACCAATGGCCTTATTGTTTCCAATCAAATCCTTTTTTGCAGCTAACTAGAGAATCAGTCTGAAGCAGCTGGTCAGTGTGCATAACAAATAAGAGTGTAATTCTAAGATATCATACTATATTTAAGCCCAGGTTGATTGTTATGTTTTGTGACTAGAACAGTCCAGTTATAGCTCATTAGAACTTTAAAAAACGAAGGGGGTTGAATTCTTTCATACCTGTGAAAAGTGGCTCCGGGCAAGGGAATATGAGGTTTTTCTTACAGAGTTTCTGTCACTCTTTTGTAATGGGAACTAGTTTTGTCCTCTTCAGCCCCCTGTACATTTGGAAAAAAAAAAAAAAATGCACCTTAAAAAAAAAATGCAGACTTAGTTGCAGTCCAGGATAAGCCTAGGACAGTCTTCAGTGAGAAGAATTCCAAACCAGCTTTGAAAACTTGTGAGCCCTCTGACCCCTTGTTCTCATCTTCTTATAGTGTAATTCCCACTGAATGTGGGTGCTTTGGTGCAAGTGGAGAATTAAAAATGTTAATCTGAGGAAAAAGGTAATGTAGTCTGTAGGGTGCCTAAGGAAATGGTGTGCGCACTTTTTTGGTCACACAATCCCCTTATGCCCTTAATCACAAATCTGTAGGGTGCTGTCTGTCAGGACTAGAGGAAGAGAAATTGTCATAGAGGATGTCTTGGTTTTTTTTTTTGGGGGGGGGGGGGTTAATTCCTTGTTTTCTGTCACGGAGGATATTATTTCCTCCATGTGCAGATTCTAGTCATGATGATTAGATGATAAAATATGTGTATATTCTTCACTCCCCCTGTTTTTAAACCCAGAGCTGCTGGCGACTCTTCTGTAATGTGCAGTCTGGAATAAAAGGTATTGCATGCATGGCCTCAGGATATAATTTGAGTAAAATGGGTTTTCCTTTATAAGACTAGCAGTCCACTCAGAGTCTAAGTGATGGACTTAAAAAAATACTATTGGCCTAATACAAGCTATTGGAACAAAGAAGTGGAAGAGTAAATCTTATATAAATTTGCTATTTTATGCTGTTCTTTACAAAGTATAAATTGTAGATCTTTATATAATCAGATTTAATTTTGCTGTGTAAAAATATATTAACAGTACTAATATTGTCACTTAAAATGGCCTCTGTCACATTGTATCAAGCCAGGCTGCAAGTAGGTAATCCCTGAAGCAACTATGCTTCTCGCTCAAATGGTGATTTTTCTTTAGAAAGTGCTTAACCTATTTTGTGTTGTGGCATTTTCCCCCCATAGTAAAATAGTTTGATTTGAATTTAGCATACCTAAAAAGATGGCTGAGAGGCTCACAAATTATCTTGACTTGTTGTTCAAGTGCTTTAATCTCATATTTGAGAGAGTTCATGTTCTAGTATTTCTTGCAGAGTCCTAATAGGTTTTTCCCAGTGATGGCAAAATACTCTCCAGGTGTCTGCTTATCTGAAGATATTTGCATTTTGAGATCTCCATATCTAGTATTCTCTAACAGTTTCTCAGTAAAGCTGGAGAGAGAGATGTACTGGGGGGGAAGGAGAGGGGGAGGTGGGGGAGAGGAAAAGCTGTGAACAGAGAGACTGTTCCTTCTAGTCTGGGTTGCCTGAAATCATAGGAAATTAGGATTGGAAAGAACCCCAGGAGGTCATCTTGTCCAATCCCCTGCTCAAAGCAGGACCACCGCCAACTAGATCATCCCAGCCAAGGCTTTGTCTGGCTGAGTCTTAAAAACCTCTTAGGTTAAAGATTCCACAAACTCTGTGTAGCCTCTTCCAACGTTTAACAATCCTTCTAGTGACAGAGTTTTTCCTAATATCTAATCTAAATTTCTGTCATCTGCTGCCACTGTGAGCAGTGTAACTCGTGCGTGCAATTATTTGGGCTAAGGGCCACATGGGTGGGGTTCTGTTGAGCTGTTATGGGCCAGGTCAGCACCCAGTCTCCCTTCTCCTCCCCACTGGTGCAACAACACAGCAAAACTTCCTAAGTGGCTCGGCTCTGCTCTGCTCTTGGCTGGGCAGCTGGGATGGGGCGGTGGGTGGATGGGGAGTGGCATCTGGGAGTGGGATGGGCAGGCAGGGCTAGAGCTGGGGGGCAGAGCTTTAATCTACTGCCTGCACGCCCCTGTGATGGGTGCTGGTTCTGTGGGCAGGGGCATGCGGGGAGTAAATTGCAGCTATGCCCTGGGCCCTAGCCTCGCACTGTCACCACTCTGTGATCCTGGGGTTTCCTGCCCGCAGAACCTGCACCCGTGGCAGGGCTGTGCAGGCAGCGAATTGCAGCTCTGCCCCAGCTCCTGGCCCTGGCCCCATGCTGTCACCTCCCTGTGATTCCAGCCTCGCCTGTCCATCCCCAGTCCTGAACACCGTCTGCAGACCCATCCCATCTGCTCAGCCATGCGTCCTGCCTGCTCAAGTCCTGCCCCTGCCAATGGGTGCAGGGTAGAAGGGCCGGGGTGCATGGGCAGTGGGGCTAGGTCTGGCAGTGGCAGCTGGAACAAGCCATCACTGCTGAGAAGCAAGTCCAGCTGCTCTGCTGCCTCAGCCCTGCTGCATGCCTGGGGATAGCAGGATGTGCCACATACGCCACAGCTTGGGCTGCTCCCTGTGCTTGGGCTGGGCAGGACTGAGGGGACCCCTGTGGGCTGGACAAAATTGCTTGGCAGCCCACCCCTGGTTTAGCTCTTTGTAACCACCCTTCACAGGTAGTTGAAGGCTGCTGTTAAATCCCACCCTGCCCCAGTCTTGTCTTCTCCAGACTAAATAAGCCCAATTCCCTCAGCCGCTCCTCATAAATCATGTTCCTCAGCCCTCTAACCATTTTCATTGCCCTCCACTGGTCTCTCTCTGGTTTGTCCACCCTCTTTCTGTAGTGGGGGGTCCAAAAACTGGACACACTACTCCAGATGTGGCCTCATCAGTGCTGAATAGAGGGACATAATCACTTCCCTCAATCTGCTGGCAACACTCTTGCCTACTACCTCCTCCTCAAGTGAATTAACAAATAAACAAATGTTTTAGTTACTCATCTTGTAGCTATTACTTTACCAAGTTTTTTTTTGCAGCTTTCTTCCTTAATAGACTGTTGAGAGAATGTTTACTGTATTAAGTCTCAGTAAAAAATTCTTAAGAGCATATGCTGTGGGCGAGGGGCATTTTAGGTACCTCTCTCTAAATAAGCATACAGACATCACTATGCCCTCTGCAAGAGACTGAAATATTTTTGTACCAGTTCTTGGATTGTTGGTGGGTAGTATTCATGCTGGAAGGATCCAAACAGCAAGGATCTCCACAGATAATACACCAACTTAAGACAACTTGGCTTACTTGGAAGAAAGACTTCTATCTCTATGAACGCATATCTCAAATTACCATTTTTCATTCCATCCAGGAAGAGCACACACCAACTGCTGAAACTTCCTTAGCCTGACAAAGGGTTTTTGAACTCAAAAGCTTGCTTAATAATTATTTTCCAACTATTTGGGTTGGTCTAATAAAATATATCAGATTCACCCAAGAAACCTTGTCTGCCTAGGTCCTTAGACCAACACGGCTACACCCTACACCCCTGTCTCAAATTACCAGGTACTTTTGTGATATGGTAGCTTCACTTGCAATTTATCAGACTTCATAGAGAAATTTCTGCAAGAACACTGGGAGGAGCTGTAGTCCATTATCTAGTAGCATGGACGCTTCTACAGGCTGTTGGTTGCTTGTGCTGCAGTAGGATGCTCAGTAGCCTTTGTATAGTTGTGGAAAAAAGGAAGGGCAATTTCAGATTTTGTCACTAGTTGTAGCTTCAAACAACACCTGCTGCTCAGGATTTATTTCTTGGGGGTGGAAGTTCAGATGTTTCAGTAATAGAGCAAGAAAATATTCATGACACTTTAAGTGGATGGTAAATCTGTCATGGATGAGATTTAATTAGACCTCTACTCCATGTGTCTTTATATAATAAATAAAGCCCTAGAACCTGCTGGCTTGTTCTTACTGAAATACTGTATTGTGCACTTCAATTTTTCAGATGCCAGGGCCAGACATTACACATAAACCAGTTTAAGCAATCAGAAGCTGGTTTAAACCTGTAACAGAACAAATGTTCAGTGCATATAAACCAGTTTCAAAATGGCTGAAACCGGTTTGAGATAAACCTGGTTGAATGTAGTATGAGACCTAACTAATTTGGCTCAAACCAGTTTATGCGATGTCTGTCTTAGACCCTTTGCTGGTTT